TTTTTTTTTAAAAAGACAGAGTCTCACTCTGTCACCAGGCGCCAGGCTGGAGTGCAGTGGCACCATCTTGGCTCACTGCAACCTCCGCCTCCCAGGTTCAAGCAATTCACCTGCCTCAACCTCCTGAGTAGCTGGGACTGCAGGCGCCCGCCACCATGCCCAGCTAATTTTTGTATTTTTAGTAGAGACGGGGTTTCACCATGTTGGCCAGGATGGTCTTGATCTCTTGACCTTATGATCCACCCACTCTGGCCTCCCAAAGTGCTGGGATTACAGGCGTGAGCCACCGCGCCCGGCCCTGGGTAAATATATTTAAGAACAGAGCACTTCATTTTTAAAAGGTGAAGTGTCAGAAACAGTGTGTGTGACAACCACCATTAGAGAAATTATTTATAATAAATTGTTCAGAATGATACACTGTTTGGCAATTAGATTGGGGAAGGTGTGGGAAGGCTTATTTGGTTCAGTTCTTGGGAAGAAAAGATGAAAAGTCAACACCTGCATACCAAAAGAAGATGGCAACAGTGAAAACACAGCAGAAGTCCTCTATTGTTTGGGGATGTCATTCTTTTCCTCATTAACCTCTTGGGATTTTGGGGTACTATTTTATGATTCTTCACCGAAATATTTTCTAGGAGAATTAGCTCCCAAAAAAGAGCATGAGGCTTTAACTTGAAGAAAGACAGAACGTACATACTGCTTTACAACTGTTGGCTATCAGGCTTGCGGTCTTCTTAAAGGTCTTTTCAAGGTAGTGTGCAAATCTTTCATTCTCATTTTCTTTTGACCCAAGCTGAAGAAATTCACCTATAAAGAAGGAAAGGGGTCATTCAAGAGGTAGCTTTATTGCCTGGCTAAACACCAGGATTGAATAACAAAGAAAAATGAGAATCAACGTACCACGCACCAAATCTTCAATAACTTGGGTTAAAATAGATATAACAGTTGTATTTCCAATTCGTGCCAGAGCTATAGATGCTGCAGAAAGAATTAAATCTCCAGCAAGAACAGCCTAGAAAAAGACAGGGGGAAAACACAATGTTCAGAAAAAAGTATGAGAGCAATAGAGGCAATGACGAAACTGACTGGAAGCGATCTTCGTGGAAGGGGGGCTCATCTTGGATGCAGGGTTTTTTTTTTTTTTAACCTTCCTCTTCCTCAGCAGTCTAACAATCAGTTACAGATTTGGGACAGTGTTTGAACTGGACTGGCTCTCAGAGATGACCATGTCACTTCCCAGTTCATAATGATGGGTTACGGATTTGAGGCAGTGTTTGTGACTGGACTGGCTCTCAAAGATGACTATGTCACTTTCCAGTTCGTAATAATCAGTTACAAATTTGAGACCGTGTTTGAACTGGACTGGCTCTCGGAGATGACCATGTCACTTTCCAGTTCATAATAATCAGTTACAGATTTGGAACAGTGTTTGAACTAGACTGGCTCTCAGAGATGACCATGTCCATCTCCCCAGCTGACAGCTGAAGAAATCAACGCCTGGAGAGGGTGGGCAGCTTCCCCTCACAAGCTTCACCTGCCAGCCCCACCGAAATGCAGCTGCCTTCAGTTTTGCTACACTGGATGTTCATTCTTCTCTTGTGCCTTTCCACTTACTGGTCCTTCTGCTCAAAAAGTTCCGCCCCCTTCTTCACTGAGTGGACTTATTTGCCTAATGAGGTCAGATGCCACCTCCAAGAAGTCCCTCTACCCACCCCGATCCCTCAGTCTGGTCAGATGCCTTCCTTTTGTGCGAGTACAACACCCATGCACACTCTGCGACCAACACACCTTGCATACCAGTCAGGAATGCTCTAGTCTCTAAGCTCCCAGGGCAGTGGGGAGGGTGGGGTGGGGTGGGGTGGGGTGGGGAGGGTAGAGCTCGGACTAGGAATCATCTCAGCTAGTACTGAGCACACCCCAGAGCATGGCACGATATGTGTTATTTTCAATGAAAACTAAACCAAGGAATTTTGGCTCAAAGTGAAATGCTTTTTGTACTATATGACACTGCCACTCATTCCTAGGCAAAAAAAATTTTTTCCACTGAACACTAAATAATCAACATCTTTCCAATCTTCTTCCGATTGTGATGGACATCTACACTGTATTAGCAACTAGTTACAAATTACTGCATAAATAGTTGAATTATAATCAAACTATATATATTAATTTGCATATTTAAAGATACATACGTTTCTTTTTTTTTTTTTTTGAGACAGAGTCTTGCTCTGTTGCCCAGGCTGGAGTGCAGTGGCACAATCTCGGCTCACTGCAGCCTCTGCCCGGTTCAGGCAATCCTCCCACCTCAGCCTCTTGAGTAGCTGGGACTCCAGGCATGCACCACCATGCCCAGTAATTTTTATCTTTTTACTAGAGATGGGGTTTCATTATGTTGGCCAGGCTGGTCTTGAACTCCTGGCCTCAAGTGATCCAGCTGCCTTGGCCTCCCAAAGTGCTATGACTACAGGCATGAGCCATCACGCCTGGCCATAAGTGTTATATTCTATAGTAATTAGTCATAAAGGCTAGAGTTCACAGAATTTTTAACATAACCTTTTAGATCCTTATTGTCTTACTTCTTTAGTATCTAAAACAGTGACGTTCAGTGTGTTTACCAATTAATCACCACTTTATATAGTATATATAATGTAAGATTCCCTGATGTAAGTATATGCTTATAAAGTCATTTTACAAATTATGATATATATGTACACACTTACATTCCCCCACCCAGCCCCTACATCGTTAGCAGCTCAGGGCTTGGGATCCATTGGCCTTTACTTTTTTCTTCTCCGGGCTGGGGATATCCTAGAGGCCAAAAGGTCCAGCATGACATGGACTGTGGAAGGTCAGGGGTGGGAGTTAAAGGAAGTGCGTGCTAGGAAGCCCAGGCCAGGCCTCACAAGGGCTCACCAGGAGGGCACTGTGTGTGTGGGTTTTTGTCCTGGTGACACAGCAGCTGTGCGTCAGGGAGGAACCTGGCAGGTAGCCCTGGGCTGAGCAGATGGCTGTCACAGCTGGAAGATGCAGGTGAGGGCAGCACACATGTCCTTGACCTGCTCTCAGAAAGAGGCCCCCAACAGCGGAGGCAGACACACGGGGGCTAGCCGAGGAGAAGACCTTCATTTGTTCTCTTGATCCTCCTCCCCAAACCAAGGCTCCAAATAAGGCTTTAGGACTGGCCCTGCCTGAAAACAGACACAGCTGATTGCAGGGACGGGTCACAGAGCTACCCACGTCCTCTCCAAACCAAAACACCATCTGCTTTTTTGGCTAACTCTCTGAGGTATATAGTTCAGTCAACAGGACATAAAACCTTTTAGTCTAAAATTTGAAATAAAAGGCATGTAAATGAAACTGCAGGACTTGATTTCAAAACAAAGTCATTTATGGTCAAATAAAATCAGCATGTGAAGATAGCAATGAACATACATATTTCTTTTTTTAATGAGGAGAATTAAATAGGAAGGGACCAGGGATACTATAGATCTGTGAGAGAGAAAAAGAGGTGAGGGTGGGGCAGTTATATTTGCACAAACTTATTATTTTTTTTGAAACGAAGTCTCACTCTGATATCCAGTCTGGACTGCAATGGTGTGATCTCAGCTCACTACAATCTCCCTCTCTCAGGTTCAAGCGATTCTCCTGCCTAAGCCTCCTGAGTAGCTGGGGTTACAGGCACATGGCACCATACCTGGCTAATTTTTGTGTTTTTTCCAGTAGAGACAGGGTTTCACCCTGTTGGCCAGGCTGGTCTCGAGCTCGTGGCCTCCAGTTATCCATCTCCCTCAGCCTCCCAAAGTGCTGGGTTATAGGTGTGCACCATGATGCCTGGCTAATTTTTGTATTTTTAGTAGAGATGGGGTTTCACTATGGTGGCCAGGCTGGTCTTAAACTCCTGACCTCAGGTGATCCGCCCGCTTCAGCCTCCCAAAGTGCTGGGATTACAGGCGTGAGACACGGCGTCCGGCCTGCACAAACTTTTTGTTTGCTCTTCAGTAGAGGCACATGTGTGGTGATGGTGATGGGTGCCTGCTCTCCAAGGCCTGAGCATTTTTATTCTCATCTGTTCAACTCTATTCTCATCCTTTAACCCAAGATCTCTGCATCCTCAAACCAAAGTCCCTGCTTCCCATATTCCCCATGCTAGCAATACAGAAATATGCTTTAATGTATACATATATGAACCAAACCCAATTACAGAACTTCCATTTCAAAAGATAAAATTTTCATGGTAGAAGAGTATCTCTCTGACATTTCCTTTTTATTTTTTTTTGCTTTGACATTTACATGAAGCACTCAATTAAGCAAATTTTAAAAAATTAAACTGAATCTGGGTAATCTAACCTCAAAAGTAAAATGTATGATTCCTTAAGAAATACATTTTTGGAGACCCATGAAAATCCCTTTCCTTATAACCAAAGAAATTTAATAAGAAATACTAAGTTTATGTTTCTATGGCATTTTCTATTACTAATTTATCAAGTACCTATAATATAGATAAGACATGAATACCTTTTTGAAATTTGGAAGACCACATTACATTTAAGCAAGCATATTTTACTTATTAATGAGACAAAGCTGAAAAACAACTGTGGTCCAAAAAGCATGTGATTTGGTAAGAGAGACTTTAAAAAACCAAAAAGACGTACCTTCTTTTCACCCCAGATCTTATTAACTGTGTGTTTTCCTCTTCGAGAACTTGCATCGTCAATAATGTCATCATGAACGAGACTAGCAGTGTGGATCATTTCTGCAATTAAGGCTATGGTGCGCTGGCTGGCTTGCACGTGTCTAATTAACAGAAAGCAATGCTTTTTAACAGACGTCGCCTAGAACCTTCTCAGCAATCAGCTTTTGAAAACTGGACATCGGATCTAGGATAAAGAATGTTATTTCTCTAAGAGAAACTGTGTAAAAACTCTGGCTTCATGACAGAGCCATTTCTATCATTTGAAGAACATTTTACAAATGCGTGAGAAACCCTGGCATGACATTTTATGAATTCCACATTAAAGAAGTAGAAATTGTACAATTAACCCCAAAAAAGGTAAATGATCAGAAGTCTGGCTGATCTTATTGGGCTGAAGAATCATCTTTATAGCAATGTTCTTGGTCAGGTGTTAAGTTTACAAGTTTATACATTTTGGGGTGCATAGGGAAGATAAGTGAGAAGCTTTTTTTTTTTTTTTTTTTTTTTTGAGACCTAGTTTTGCTCTTGTTGCCGAGGCTGGAGTGCAATGGCCCGATCTCGTCTCACTACAGCCTCCACCTCCTGCGTTCAAGAGATTCTCCTGCCACAGCCTCTCAAGTAGCTGGGATTACAGGCATGCACCGCCATGCCCAGTTAATTTTGTATTTTTAGTAGAGACAGGGTTTCTCCACATTGGTCAGGCTGGTCTCGAACTCCCAACCTCAGGTGACCCGTGAGCCTCCCAAAGTGCTGAGATTACAGGTGTGAGCCACCTTGCCCGGCGAGAAGCATTTTTTTAAAAAGGTATTTTAAAGACTCAACTGTCTCAATATTCAAAGC